TGACTATATAAGGTATTCGGTGTTCACAATTTATACAATCATGTTTCATTAGTGTTCGTTCTCCAACATAGTACTAAATTTGCAAATTGGATTTGAAATTGCTTGATTACCTGTTTAGTATCAACTCGGTTTTGTACCATTTTTTTCACATTATAGCTAGTGTACATATTTATACAAATAGCTTTATTATTGCTGGCTGTTCAGTAATGTAAATTAAATGTTTGTTTATTCATAAGACTGTTCCGTAATGTAGGATTTTTAGTTTTTGTAAATTTCTAGCCATCAGCTTCTGACATGTCTAGTTTGTAGATTGAAATGGCTTTACTGGAACATGAAATTGGGGAAGGATTTCTTGTGCTGCAAATGGGTTTTGGTACCATTTTAAGGAGTGCTAATTTTGTACTTGATTGCTATTTAAAAGTGTCTTTTTCTGCACCATAAACTTAGAATATATTATTTTTAAAACTGTTCACTATTCTTTGTTGCAGTATGCAAGATTCAATGACAGAAGTACTTACTGTATATTTTACTGTTTTGGCAGTTATCATAGATGAACAGCCTCTGAGAATGCCTTTTTATTGAGAAAGAAGAATGTTTGTAACACCTGTTGAAACAGATTGTTTTGAGGTTGAAATATATTCCTTTGTAATTGTGCAGAATCAAACATCTTGTTTTTGTTTTTCCTCTGAAGATTTTTTTGAACATGTATTATGTGATAATTTTCTGCAATGACAGAAATAAAATATTTTATTGGGCTTTAATTATTTGTTGGAAGTCAGTTAAGTTGGTTCACTATCTGACTTATAATGCAAGGATGTTACATTTAATACTTGCCCAGGCCAGCTCCTGTCAATTGTCTCAAGTGTGTCATTGGGAAAAGGAACTTAGCTCCTATTTCCCTAGCCAATAATGTGTTCAAAGTGCTATTAAAATTTAAAAATGAAGACGAATGCTTAACTTAAGCTAACAATTAAAATAAATAGCCAACATCCTTGATATATATTGCTTAAATTGTGCCATTATTTTCAGAAACTTTTCAACATCTATTATGTTGCTAATCATACCACAGTTTAATTCTCTTTGACAAAAACTTTGTGCATCATGGAATTTTGTTATAATGTGCCTTTTGTCAATGAAATGAACACTTCTTTATGAAGACATAATATTAATGCATCTATATATTTTCAACATTTTCATGCTGTCCTTCTTAGATGAGATTAAATTTTCATGCTACAGACTAATGACATGGAGGACTTAAAACCAGTTTAATCACTGGCTACTCTGTCATTTGATCGTTTTTAAACAGAATCTTTGATTGAAAGAAAATTCTGTATACTACTTAAGAGACGTGACTGCTTCCTGAAAATGTAAAAGTGATCTCCCAGTCTCATTTAATTAAATAAAGTAAGCTCAGTCATTCAAACTAATATTACCCATGTTGCCATTATTATATGAACTATTCATCGAATTCCAGATGAATTTTTCTTTGTTTACATCTTTTTTACATCTATTATCTGAGTATTGATTATTAGAATATATTCTCTTTATATAAAGTACTTTAGTGCACCAGAAACCTTTTATTATATTAAAACCGTGATGCATTATCCAAAGTGAAAACTGGAATCCACAGCATGTTTGATATCTTTAATTTTGACACATGTTGGTCCAAACTGAGTTCTAATTACTTATAAAGTAGGTTATGTTTATTGTTTTGTAACTAATCCAATAATTGATATGAATTAATGTTAGTAATTTAAGGTCGAGTAGGTTCAGTTAAGTCTTTCCCTCATAGAGTGTATGGCTTTTTAGCCCTTCGATACGCATGTAGCAAAGTTACCCGATGCAGTGCGCTACACATAGGCGTGTTAAGTAGTGAAGTAAATATTATGTTTAACAGCAATTTTAACCATTTTATGTTTTTGGTACACTTATATTATGTGTGGAAAGATTTAAGAGTAAATATGGTTGTTATTGCTGTATAATTATTTTTCACAAAAGAATTTTGTATGTGCTTTAAAATCTTGAGAGAACTCATTCTCTATCAAGTCAGTGAAGCTGCGTGATCAACCGTAGTGGCAATTTCTCATACTCGAAATTTACAAGTTCTTTGCCTGCATCTAAATTACTGAATCATCTCAGTTTGATAATTTATAAAAACTAATGACTTCCTACATCAGTATTAGAGTCTTTACCTAAGTTATTGAAGCTTTCATAGTTGTGATTCTACTCGAGCAAGTACCATTTTGTTTAGTGGAGAAAACGACAGAGTTACGACTTATGTACTTTAAATAGCAGATTTCGACCACAGCATCAACAGTGACCATGTGATCTGATGGAATGGTCATTCTTACTAATGAATGTAGTATCTAATAGGGTTTTTTTCCTGAAGGCAGCACTACGAAAACCCACTCAGAATGCCTGCTGATTACAGAGTTGCCAAAAGGCGCTTCTATGCGAATCAGTTAAAGTGCCAAAAGACGACTGTATGGGAATGCAGTAAAGCACCAAAAGACGCTTGTATGAGGTAAAGTATTAAAGGAAGTTGGAAAATGATATAAACCCTTTGTAACCTACATTTGACTGTAATTTAATATTGTTGTTTAACGCCATTTTTCATCACAGGATAGGCTATACATGGCGGCCAGTAGTAATGGTGGAGGAAGAACCCTGGAAAAGCCCGGGAAGAACCACTTCACACACAAGAAGCTACTGGCAGGCTTTCTCACCACATTAGCAGAGTATGGACTTGAACTCACGCATACAGGTGAGATGGCAGTGATGCTTTAGACCACTCGGCCACTTTGGGCCCCAACTGTAATTTAAGAAACAATTTTTAGGAAACAGAAATGTATAGAAACTAAATACAGTGCCATCCTTGAAGTTGACTGGAGACTGAAACAAAGCCAATTATTTCCATGCAATGCAACATTCTGGTGAACACTCAGTATGGTAAAAAAATAAGGAAACAATTCAAGATGGCTTCAGGAAGAACTGTTTTATTTCTTTGAAATATATATGTATCTAAATTATGAGTTTCATCTTTTGAGATATGTTAAAAGTTTTTTCAAACAAGACAGAGGTAAAATAAATGGCAGTATCTAGGGAATGTATTCTACTTGATGTTCACTTGCACCTTCGTGACCTTTAGTTATTCGAACCCCATTATTTTCAAGAGTTTTCTTTTAGGTCCCCCCCCCCATTTAGAATAATTGAGAGGCTCCTGTATTTACTTTATGTCAGCCCCATGTGAACTGACAACTTAGTTTTGTTATGGTTGTTTTGTTCAAGTTGCTTTTCTTTCTGGAACTTTTGATAGAGTATTGTCATATTTGGCTTAAATCATTAAGACGCCGAGTCATTCATTCTATGATGCATTTGCTTGCCTATGCAAGGTCAGACAAAATTTGTGCCAAGGTTTTGATTAAAGTTTATTATATATCATATACTTCCTGATGGACTTTCTTTATTGCTTGTATAACAATGCCTTGATCATAGACACCAACCTTGTCAACTTGTGGTTAATAGATGTTAAAATGATCATATTTATTTATAAAATTATTTATAAGATTATTTTTAAAATGCAGTGACTGTAAGATATTATTTTGAGAATGATTATTGATTCTTTTTATATTACAAGTCTATGTACCTGACTAAAGTATACTCTTGACTAAAGTGTACTCACCTTGTCTTATGTCCCATTTTATCAGGTCGACAAAATCCAGTCCTAATGCACAACAAAAAATTCTTTTTCGCTAATGAAATTCTTACCATTCCCTTCCAATCAAACATTAAATTAAATAGTATGGTTGGTCATTCACTAAAATCTAATTAAAAAAAATAATAGCCCATAAGTAAACACTTTATTCCATCCACTGCTCCAAAATATTTTTCTTCAGTCAGATCCTACTTTTTTAATTCTTGTATACATTAAGTTTCCCCATAGAAACACCAAAATGAAACCACTCCCAGTAACAGTCATCTTTGGTTATTGCCACTAGTGTACTAAAAGAGTCATATATGGCACGTAGTAGAAGGTGATCCAGTTTGATTGACTGGCATTGAATGCATTACTGATTGAGTGCATACCATCTTTGTTGGTACAGTATAGTTTTTGTAGTCTAAAATGAATGGAGTAATTGCACATTGGTATTACCCCAGTGATTGAGTACACCTAAATATCTATCAGCTTAGGGTCACGAAGATAAAATCAAATGTATAATATAGAGATGATGTTATGCATCACTATATGCCACTTATTTGTTCACCATGCATGGTTTCATTGCATGAAGAGTGAACCATTTGTTAAGCAGATATTTGAACCCTTACTGTTTGAATTAGAAATGGAATAACTGTAACAACTGAAGTCAAATCAGGATACTGGTTTGTCTGGGTTTGGTTCAGTTTTAAACTTTTGATATTAGATTCACTAGTGTTGCTCAGGGAACCAGACTGACTTTACAGGAGCATCGTGGATGCTTTAATCTTTCCCCATTTTTATGATATGTTTTTTGCAGCATGGAAGCACAAGGAACAGTCAGTTAAACAAGACTTTATTGTGCAGTTTTTGAAATGAATTATTTAGCTATAGCTGGGATTTTATTTCAGTACTAGCATATTGGGTAGACAATGTATACATTACTTTTACCTCATGAATATGTCTTATTGAACAATTTACCTAACAATTGCATGAAATGTTTACTTAGTTATGCTGTGTACATGGATAAGTTTGTGTGGTCAACATAATAACTTCTACTTTACAGCAGTGTCTTTCAGTAAACTGCATAACATAGCGTCAACAATTTTTTCCGTCATATGGCTATGATGTCTGCAGTGCAGCAGTTTATAGTGATGTGTAGCACTGGAGAATCATGGTGAAGACATGTGGCATGATGTTCTACCTAGTCACATCCAGACACCAGGTCGCCCAGTCCTAACACTAACCTCTTAATGCTGAATGTCTAGGGAGGCAACTGTTAATACTATTTTTAGAAGATTTGGTATGATTCTTCAAGGGTTCAAACCTGCAGTCTCCTGCATCCGAGGTGGACGCTCTAACCACTAAGCCACCCGAGTGGTCCTGAACAGATTGTCAAATCTTATCTCTATGGAGTAATGAAAGAGATGGTGGAAATGATGCAATAACATACAAGTTTAATGAGGGTTTAAAAAAAAACCCACAATAGACTAGAAACAATGGATGTATAAAATATTTATTTCTATTATTTATAAAAAGGATTAATTTACAAAATGATTCATGAATGCAATTTTTTTATGCCTTGGGCAAAAACTATGTTTTTTAAATGCTTTTTACAAATCAAATACTGGCTGATGCTGAAAACAAATGTGAGCCAAAAATTATATAATATTGTCGCAAATTGTTTCTTTAAAAACAACTGTTATGATAATAGCATAACATTTATACTATAAAGAGTAATTTTTACAAAGCATGTTCAAGATACATGTTTGGTCAAAGTGCAAAGGTGAAGGTTACAGCTTACTACACAGCAGAATTTGATACATTTTTTGCACAGAACATTGCCTGTAGATTCTTGCATGTATTAACTGATATCTACTAATGCTGAGGACAAAGCTGAATTCTCTATACTAGTGCTACAGTGAACTGCAAACAAATTGATGGTTATTTGTGGTGGTGGCATGATCTCTTATATAATATTGTGGGTGTAAAATTGTTCTTGATATTGTCATCATTCCAGATAGTCAACCATCATGAATACAAATGTACAATTACATCACATCACTAGTTTGCATTTTACAAGGACAAGTTCATAATTTATATCAAATACATATCAGGTATGCTATATAGAGTATGGCATCATAAAGGCGATTTCATTGTAAGAAAATGGGGAAAAAATTTGAGACTAAAAATTTCAGTAAATACCTGCTTAAATGTCTCAAAGTAAATAAAATAGAAAAAAAAAACATGTTTTTAAATCTATGAAAGCAAGCACTGTGTTTATTGTATAGATAAGAGAGTTCCTTTTAAATCACAATCTGAGTCCCCAATTTTTTTGAGTGGAATTGGCCCTTGCAATGGCATACTCAACATATTGCATCTGATGTATATTATGTACTTAAAAACAAAATGCCTTCCTTACAAAGTCTACAAACTCAAGCAACAAATATTGCATCTAAACTTCATCTAAAGCTAGTAATGGGTTTCCACAAAAATGTCAACAAATTTTTAAAATTATCAAAAATATTTTTAGAACGAATTTAATGTCCAGCTTTCATTTACTGAAAGACAACATCAAGCCAAAAAACAAAAGTATAAACACTCTTTATGTGCCTAAAAGTGAACCACTGACTTAAACTGGAAAAAAAAACTGACAAGAATTTAAAGTAAGCACAACCCTCGTGCTATAAAGATAAATACAAAAAAGGTAACTACAGTGAAGCAAAATATTCCAGAGCATGTTACTTTTAAAAATTTAGTAAAAAAAATGAATTCACCAAAATCTTCTATTTACATGAATATTTTAAGCACTGTCCATTCAATTGTCAGTACTGTCCTGATTTCTGATAACCTTATCCTTTTAACTCTCCCAATGTTAAGTTCATTCCTTGCCCTTAGCACAAATTATTCATGCAGTTTATTGAAAGACTGCTGGAAAATACATATTATGTTGACCACAACATATTTAGCTTATTTCCTTGCTATTTTCTTTTTTTTGACCCTGACCTGATACATTGAAACGCCAACAGTGCTTCCTTGCTCCAATATCTAAAGCTTACCATAGCAGCAAACCATGATCTTGAAAGGCATGTGGTTTGTAGTTAAATTTATTGAACTGAAACTTTAGCTCTTGTTTAGGACTTGGTGATATTGACCTTTTGATCCCAAAACATATTTTTTCTTTGTTACCCCAAATGGAAGCTATCTACTAAGTTTGGTTGATCTATTTGGTCTCCAACTAAAGTTAAGTGTGCAGAAACAAAGTTCCATTTTATTTCATGTGACACTGGATCATTTACACCCCAGAATATAATTTTTTTATATCACAATGTGCACATTATTAACAACAGAACAAATGATTGGAATATGCCCTGATATGATATACTCTTAAAAGCAAAATTTTCCAACACAAACCAAACATGTAAATGCCAATGAGATAGATCAGAAAAAAATGTTACATAGTATAAAATGAATGATTGAGACATCATATATAATTCTCATTTTACCCAAGGTGCAAAAATAAATTTATCACACTATGTCAACATACATGTGGCCATCATATGCTGTAAACCTCTGAAGTCATTATCCATGAGATGTATATGATGCAATGAGAACAAGGTTGATTAATGACATGTATGAATGAAAGAATTTTTTAAAAATTATGTCGTTTTCAGCACAACTGCATTTTTAAAACAAAAAAAAAACTGACTATGATCTGATAACTGGGTATCACTAGTTATGTTGCGTCCCTATAATTGGTTATAATGCAATAGCATCACATATATAAAGTGTAAAATATGCAAGCCCATCACTGCATAAATCCATTGCAGGGTAAGCTATATTTCCGTAATGAACCAAAAGTTTTCCTTTCCCTTCTGTCTTAATTTTAAATATTCATTAACATTGATTAGAGACACTAAAATGATTTAAAAACATTTATTACCTTATACTGCCACAAAAAAAGCTCTTGAAAGGGACACCTCTGTTTGAGTCTCCAACAGTTACAGTATCTGTTTTTGAGACTGCACCTTCTTATATTTAAAACTGTGCATCAGGTGTTTATTTTAGCAGAATATGGTATGCACTTTTAGTGGAGGTTAGATAAATTATCAATTTACAGCAAACAACAGTAGTGGTCATTTTCTTTTAACGGAAGGAACATACAAAAGTATCTGAAAAATTTTTTAAAAGATTAATAATTGCTATCTTATGTCTGACAAAAATTCTTGGAATTAAAAAATGATGTTTGCAACATTTAGGTAGACAAGTAGGAACAAGGTAACTGCATACATGCTGCAAGTGGCTTGGTTGTTTACTTTATTCATTGGGATCAAAAGACAAGAACTGTTTATTGTTTATTTTTGAACAATTTAGTTTCTTTCACTTTAGTCTAGTATTTCATTTACAGCCAGAGACTGTTGTAATAATAATCATGATACAATAATGCCAAAATAAATATTGTGCTTCGTTGTTGATAGAGAACCAGCAATACATGCATACACCTCCAATAAAAATCAGATAATTCAAAATGAACATTATTTACAAGTAACATGTATAGAAAATGTTTTAAAAACTATGTACTTTTTCAACTATATATTGATTATATATAAATGTACACTCTACCTGCTCATCAGCAAATGCATAATGATATTATGACCAAAAATGTTATTCAAATTTATTCACACATCTGTACATATAATTTAAAGAATGCATGATGTCACAGCTTTTTTCTTCAGAAAAGAAATGATTTGCTACATCCTTTTTTTCACAAAATGTCTATTTACAAATCTCAGCCTAAAGAGTTAAAGCCCATGTCTATAGGACTTTGTATCCATATGAAATGAGAGAAATCTATTATAGAAGTGGAATGTAGCTTGAAATTGGAGGGTACAGGTATTCATTTTGGCTAGGGAAGAACAACATTCTATAGCCCAACTAATTCAGAAAATTAAAAATACTTGCTGGGCGTGTTACATTTCATTTTCGAAGTCCAATATTACACTGGAAATAAAAAGAACTGCAAGTATTTTCACCTGTATTATCCATACAAAGATCAAAAATCAAAATTGTAATTGTAACTTCATGCAGAGCTCTCTCTCTCTCTCTCTCTCTCTCTCTCTCTCTCTCTCTCTCTCTCTCTCTCTCTCTGTGACATATCACAAAGTACACTTGCAGATCCATATAAAGACAATGCAGATGACACACAAGGAATATAAACAGGGAAACTGTTCACTAAATTCATTTTAAAAAATTGAAAAATTCATCTTGTTTTTACCAGAAACCATACGTCCCGATGACATTGAAAACTGTCTGGCATTTATTACTTTTTTGACCAGCACAGTCATAAGGACTCTTTTCATGACAGGTTAGATTAACAATGAATTGATTCCACTCACAACACTCTAATGACAGAAATTAATATGGCTACTGTAATGATTATCGAAAGTGTAGAGAAAATGGATGATGCCCCATTACAGCCATCACTACTGCATGTGAAGACACAGGCACGGTAAAGTCTGTCATGGTCGGGAAACCTCATGTCCTGACACTGTTGTCCAAGGTCTCGAGCACTGCAAAATCTGTGAGTGCCAACAATACCTGAAATTTTTAGATGAGGATTGTAACATTTTTGCAAACCTCAGAATGCCATATATAACCTGTCTAAACATCAAAATTGGACACATAAATATCATAATTTCTCATGGTACTAATATTGTTGTGATGTTGAGCTACTTAAAATGACTTTTGAAAACTGAAACTTAAAATTTTCTTTGATACATTAAAATGTGGATCAGTGAAATCTCATTTTTGAGAATCTTATCTGTGGCTGTTAAAAGTCAGTTGGCATCATTAAAACCAGCAGAAACTGCTATATTGTTCAATAGCATCATTCATTTCTTTAAATAATGATTTACAAGTAACAAAAAAATGTCTCATCATGCCAAAAGGCAAGTTATTTTAGAAATATAAACAGACGAACCTTAGCAGACTACTTTACTTAAAGGGTGCTGTCCATAATAAACGACACTAACAGATATACCCCTATATAAAAAACAACTATCAATAAAGGACATATGTGGTGGTCCCTTTATCGAAAGAGGAGAGTATGTACAAAAAAACCCACAAGTGTAAATAAGTATCTTCACAGACAGATCTTCTTTAATGTTGGAAAGCAAATTAAGTCTATTAAGGCACATGATGGCATAGATAAAGTAAGCCCATCATAGAGTAAAATTAACATTTACAACCACAGTAGGCATATAAATTCAATTTTAAAACATGATATTGATATGATGGATGGCCAACATAAATAAAACTGCTACAGCAACATGGAGAAACAGTTTTCTCCCCTTCATCATTTAATAACTGGCCCCA